CAATTGAAACTGCCCACTAAATATATTAAATCCCATCCATTTTAGATTATGTATCTACATAAATCAAGCTCCGTGGTTTTTATTTTCATTTTTCAAACTCTTTGTACTTAAACCTAAGCATTCCTGAACTTTGAGCTATTGTTTACTGTAGAAACACAAACGGTACCTTTTTCGAATTCCTTCTGAAGTATAAGTGAACTGCCACATTTCCTTAACAGTTCGAGCTTTTGAGTTAACTGACAAGTATATACAACTCAATACACTATCAGTGTCAGGGGTCACGGGTTCGAATCCTAGTAGGCACAATTTAATGAAATAATTCCAGCCAACTCCTATTTCCACATTTGATGCTCGAGGGAGCCTGCACATTTGATTTTCTTACCTTGACATTTCCTTCCACTCCTCTGATTGCCTTCCAAAAGTTCTATTGGATGGCACATTCAATTTCTCCAAGATTTCTTGTCAATCGTTATATATCTGCCTGCTTTTAGTACAATACAAGTGATTTGTACCTCTGGAATACATTATTTTAGAATGTTACTAGATAAATAAAAGCACGGCATTTATCTTTATAATAGTGTTGAAAACCTGTTTATCAATTTTTAGTGGTGTTATCCTATTGCACCAATAGAAGGAAAACACCTTATCATTCGTACAAAACATCTCGTAGTTTCTAGATGCTTGGTACATATTCTGGATATGTGCAAAATAAGATTGATTGGTTGTGCCCGATGGCAGCGCTCGTAGTGTGGCTGCGGGACCTTATGGTGACGGCAGCAGAGGTGGTCGGGAGGGCGGTGGGTAGCAGCGAGGCGTCAGCGGTGTTGTCCCTTTGGGCAGCGGTAGGTGTGGCAGAGGATGGTGGCGGCCTAAGCGTCGACGGCCAGTCCTCGGCAGGGAGAAGGCAGTTCTAGCAGAGGTGGTTCCATAGGCAGCTGTGTCCTAGGGGCGGTAGCGGCCTAGGAGTATGGGTAGAAGGCCTCCATGGCAGCGGCGACAACCCTAGGGGTGCAAGGGTCTTGGTGACGAGGAGACAGATCAAGTGGAGGCTGATCCCATTGGCATCGGCGGCCCTAGGGGCGGCAGAGGCCTAGGAGTCCGAGTAGAAGAGGATATCCTCAACAGCAATGACAGAGGATCTAGCAGAGGCAACAACCATGATCCGAATGACGGCGGCTGCCCTATGGGCGGCGGAGGCCTTGGAATCCGGTGAAGTGGATCGATCCTGGCTCGCGTCTAATCGGCTAGTTCGGATTGGATGACAACGGATGAAGGTGGGCTAACTGGCAACACGTGGCGTCAGCTCACTTGAAGCAGATGAAGATATGGCACCAGCAGAGGTTCGCAGCGATGGTGCACTAGGGGCGGCGGTGACTTGACGACTTCCACTTGCCGAATTTAGCCGTTTTAGGAGAGGATGTCGAGAAACAGGGATGTGCTGAGGTCATAGTATTTTCTTTTTTGGGTTGTGTGTACTCCTCTTTGTTGAGGTGTGAGTCTAAGTGCTCTTGTATTCTTTTGGCTGTGTATATCCTTTGTGATATAGAGGCCTGGTTAATGAAAATCCATAATCTAAAAAAATGTGCAAAATAAAGAAACAATACCACAAAATAGAACCACCAGTAATATAATATATCATTTATCTAAACAACTGAAAGGGATACATGGATGCATGCATACAAATTGTTAGAAACGAAACAACAAGAATGTAGACTCGAACTATTCTGTGACGAAGCACAATACATGGGATGCAATGAGTGATTCTAAGACAAGACCCTTAAGACTAACAGATGAAATGCAACCAAAATTATTAGAGAATGTGAGTTCTACTACAGTGCCCATGGGAGGCCTGAGCAAGAACCCAGATTGTAAGGCTGCATCATTTCACACCCATTGCCACTAGCGTCCCTGCTGCTGCCTACAAAGGCACTATAGAGCACGGTGCCAATCTCGCCAAAGTTTGGGTCTGGGCTGGCTATCGGCCAGTCTTGCTGCAACTGGTGTTCCCCTAGTGGTGCCATGCTTTGCATCTCGTTGTAGGTGTAGGGAGAAGCCTGTGTATATGACGAGGATGAAACTGGTTGCGTCACCTGCAATGGCTCTAGCAGGGCTCCCTGCTCGACGACAAGCTCCTGGAGTCGTGCTTTGGCTTTGCTCATCTTCATCTCCACCATCTTCCTAAGGCTAACGAGCTCATCCTTGGCGGTGCCAACGAGGCCTGGGCACCGTCCATCCAAGCTATCATGCAACAGGACCAAGGCCTCACGCTCATGATTCTCATGGTCCAACTTGCTCACCTGCTCATGGAGCCTTAACGTGCGATTGTGGAGGAATTCCTCTTGATTTTGTATCTTCTTGAAGCTGCCAACATCTGGCATGTCCTTGAATTTCTTGAGGAGATGCTTGGCCTCTGCATTAGAGGGCCACACCTCTGGTTGGGCCTGGCCATCACCATAGACCACCACACAGATCTTGATCCCACAGAGTGTGACGAGCTCACCAGCCTTTTTTGCCAAGGCCTGGTAGCGTCTCTTGTACGTTGCACGCCGAGTAGCGTTGTTGGAGATCCACCGGAGATTCACCTTCTTGCGTGCCATAGCTCCTAGCAATTACCTAGCTTGCTAGCTACTACTAAAATCCACAAACAAAATGGAAATGGTTGCTTTGGTGTTGATATGAAATGAGGAGAGGGGTGGTGTTTGTATATATAGATCAAGGAGGAGCTTAGAGCAATTTATAGCGGTGCTTAGTCATACAAGCATATTATGGTTAGCATTTACTCACTATAGAAATGTGGTGTATATAACTAAGCATATTTTGCTTCATAAATGCATAGGTCACAAGAAAAACATTCCACGCATACATCATGAGCATTGTGTGATAGGCTAGGCGTCAGTCAAATTTTGTTAATTATAGTGGAGACAAATTTCCTAATCATACCATTATATTTTAGCTAGCATTAACTGTTACATAAATATAGCAATAATTTATTTCGTTAATTGTTGTGGCGATAATTTCCTAATCACACCATTATATTTTAGCTAGCATTAATTGTCACATAATAAATATAGCAATTATTCCTGAATAGATAGATTATCATATTTTTACTAATTAAATGGATCGATCACAAGGAAAACATTCCATGCATACATCATGATCATTGTGTGGTAGGGTATATGGTGGTAAAAAATATTGGTTAATTACTACTAAAGAAACACAAGAAATAAAATAAGAGAATATAATCGAGACATTGTAGAAGGCTCACTCCTTGGAGGATGAGGCCTGACTTCAAAACAATTATAGGATGGTATGGGATGTGTCAATTCGATCAAAGGACTGGATCGTTGTTTCAAAGCTCTACAGTTCGTGTGTGTTTCAAGTTGTAGCAGGAAACTAGTTCAAGATATATTGTTTTAATTTGTTGGTAGAGTGAGTGTTTGTTATATAGCAGCCCCCATTTGTTTTCCATGGTTAGAAATATATGATGGCAGCGTAACAAGCCATAAAATCAGGCTAATAGATTACCCAACTGACTAATTGTAGATAGTTTACTATGGCTGTCAGTGATTGTGTAACAACCCAAAAATCCTTCCTTGTTAAAACTTTTTGATAAATATATAACTTGTTGACCTTAAACTTGCTATCACTTCAGTCTTGCCTACCTTGCTAAATAAGTTCTATATGATGAAAAAATTAGTGACAAAGTGATTTTCTATGAGTTTTCTACCTTGCTAAATATGTTTCCTATCACCATAAGTGACAAAAAATTATTGTCATAAGTTCTATGAGGAAAAAATCAGAACATAATAGAACATGGTTAAACATGAAAGATAAGTGACGAAGAGATTTTCAATGAAGCATCACGAATCATGTGTCATGATAGATATTATATGATCTATGCTAAATACACATCGTCATAGAATGTCAAATTTGTTGTAGTCTAACTCTCTTATCCAGAGTCCAATTGTGGTGTATGAGTATTACTCAATAGAAAGATTATTCAATATGCTTTTAAACAGGAGTAGACACGCATATCGCTCGGCAAGCTGCAGTGGCCACACCAAGTTAGCAAGGTTTAGAGAACACCCTTCATCTCCATGGCTGGTGATGTAGTTGCCCAAATGCAAAGCGCACGTGCCAAGAGATGGTGATTGTCGGAAGTTGGGGAAGATAGAAGAACTAAACTAACAGCAATATATAAAAAGCCAAATTAATAAAGAGAGAATAATGGATCATTATATTGGTGAGTTTTCCATTTTTTTGATAGGAAAAGCCATTTCTTTGCTTGGTTGCAACACATACGTATTGCAGAGTTTTGAAACATGGATTGATGCATCGCACTTCGTCACATACTTCTTTTGATGCCAGGCCGCATCCTGCTGGATTGATGCTATCAGGTTATTCCTTGTGGTTCTTTAGCAGCAATTAAACGATATTTGAGCACTATCTAGCCTATCACACAATCCTCATGGTGTATGTGTGGAATGTTTTTCTTGTGATCGAATGCATTTAAGAAGTAAGAAATATGTTTCGATAGTTACTTAGGGATCATTATTATATTTCTATATATAGTAGTATAACAAATGCTTGTCATAATACCTTGTTGTGATTAGGAAATTTATAATTGATGCAATAAACACAATTTGACCATTGTCTAACCTATCACACAATGCTCATGACGTATGTGGAATGTTTTCATGTGATTGATGCATTTATGAAGGAAAAATGCTTAGCTATAAGTAGGGAATATATGTACACACTTAATTTTGGCAGTGAATTAATGCTTTCCATAATATCATGGTATGAGTAAGCCATTTCTCGCTGCTATAAGTTGCTGTAGACTCCTCCTAGAAAACTATATAAACCGCCCCTCTCTTCATTTCATCTCAACACCAAAGCAATCATTTCCTTCCGTTTATATAATTCTAGTAGTTCCCAGCTAGGATATTGCTAGGGTGCTATGGCATGCAAGAATGTGAATCTCCAGTGGATCTCCAACAATGCTACTTGGCGTGCGACATATAAGAGACGCTCCAAGGGCCTGGAGAAAAAAGGCTTGTGAGCTCACCACACTTTGTGGCATCAAGTTGTGCGTAGTGGTGTACGGTGAGGGCGAGGCTCAGCCAAAGGTGTTGCCCTCAGATGAAGAGGCCAAGCAACTCCTCATGAAATTCAACAGCATGCTAGATGTTAGTAGCCTCAAGAAGAAAAAGAACCAAGAGGAGTTCCTCCACAGTCGCTCCTTGAAGCTCCATGAGCAGGTAAGCAAGTTGCACCTTGAAAAATCGCAAGCGTGACACCTTGGACCTCTTCCATGATAGCATATATGGAGGACGCCCGGGCCTCGTTGGCACTGACAAAGACGAGCTCCTTAGCCTTAGGGATATGGTGGAGATGAAGATGAGAAAAATCAAAGCACGGCTCCAGCAGCTTGTGGTCAGGCAGGGAGTCCTCCCACAGCCATTGCCACAGGTGCTGCTGCCAGCGTCATCCTCATTGCAGACACAAGCTTCTTGCTACACCTACAATGAGATGCAAAGCATGGCAGTACTAGAGGAACACCGGCCCTTGCAGCAGGACTGGAGACTTGCTAACCTAGCCCCAAACTACTACAGTCCCTTCGCAGGTATTAGCTGTTGGGGTTTAGTACGTCCCACATCGTGTAGCGATGGTGGAGGAGCACAACATATAAGGCGGAAGAAGCCCCTATGAGGCTAGTCTTTTAGGTTGGAAAGGCCCAAAGGCCTTATATGTTGTAGCTCCGGTGGACCTGGGACCTGTGAGAGCGCAGGCTCGTGGTAACGAGCCGGGCCGGCTGTAAGCCAGCTCCAAGACCGTGAACTCGATGGTCACCACCGGTTCCAACAATTGGTATCATAAGCCCATGGTCAGAAAAGCTAAACCCAATAAAAAAATCTCGAGCGTCACACATATGCACTACTGGAGACGGCCTCTTTGCCGAGGGCTTCTGGGTCTACCGAGGGCTAGATCTCGGGCACTCAGCAAAGGGGGTCTTTGCCGAGGGCCAGCCCCAGAAGCCCTCGGCAAAGAAACGGCCCTCGGCAAAATAAATCTTTGCCAAGGGCCTAGCCCGCCGGATGGGTCACGGCAGCCACTAGCGTCAGTCTTTGCCGAGTGCCCGCCGTCAAGCACTCGGCAAAGATTTTTTTTTAATATTCTTTGCCGAGGGCCATTGGCTAGGCCCTCGGCAAAGATTTTTTATTTTTTTTTAAATATTCTTTGCCCAGGGCCATTGGCCAGGCCCTCGGCAAAGACCCCCTTTGCCGAGGGCCAGGCTAGGCCCTTAGTAAAGATTTTTTTTTGGTTTTTTGAACCCAGTTTTTTTGTGGTGCTATAATACATTATTTAAAACTCAATTTTAAAATTTGGGCCAAATTTGACTTTTTTTTTTTATATATTTCGCTAATTTATTTCTTGCAATTTTGACTTTTTTGAATATTTCAAATTTGAGCTGCGGTGGATGGAATAATGCAATCAAGTGACTAAAAGAAATAAATTAGGAAATATATCAAAAAAGTCAAATTTGGCCCAAATTTTAAAATTGAGTTTTAAATAATGTATTATAGCACCACAAAAAACTGGGTTCAAAAACAAAAAAATCTTTTGCCGAGGGGCCAGCCTGCCCCTCTCGGCAAAGGGGTCTTTGCCGAGGGCTCGCCAATGGCCCTCGGCAAAGAATATTTAAAAAAAATCTTTCTTGAGGGCCCTGAATCTAGGCCCTCGGCAAAGGGTCCAACCCTAAATCAGCTAGCGGCCCAAATTCCCAGCCCACAGACCAAAAAAAATCTTTGCCGAGGGCCTAGCCTGGCCCTCGGCAAAGGGGGTCTTTGCCGAGGGCCTGGCCAATGGCCCTCGGCAAAGAATATTTAAAAACTCCATTCCGCCGCTTTGCTTTGTTGCGTTCTGCCCTGCCCACCCGCCCCCCTGGCTGCTGTTCTTCTTCTGCCTTGTCGCCAAGATGCCCGCCGCCCACCCACCCCATGCCCTGCCCTGGCCACACAAGACCCCACCCCAGCCCACCACCACTGCCCGCCCTGTGCCGCGACGCCGCCGCCCCACCGCCGCCCAGCCGCCCTGGCCGGCCCGGCGGCCCCCCCCCCATGGCCTTCCGCCCCTGCTGGCCTCCTGCCCGACACACAGCCCCAGCCGCCCCGTCCGGGTCTGCTGCAGGCTGTGGGAGGAGGCAGAGGGTGAAGTAGGAGGAAGAAGAGAAGGAGAAGAGGAGAAGGAGGAAGGGGAAGAGAAGGAGAAGAAGAGGAAAAGGAGAGAAGAAGGAGAAGAAGGGGAAGAAGGAGAGGAGGAGGAGAAAGAGAAGAAGGGAAGAGGAGAAGCGGAGAAGAGAGAAGGGAAGAGGGGGAGAGGAGTACTTCGACGCCGCTCGACCTCGCCGGAGAAGAAAGTGACCCCCGCACCGCGACGCCCGACTCCACCACAACCCTAGGTAAAACTCTCGTTGTCGGCCTTTGTGCCGTATGTGGTTGTGTGAGCCTTCGTGCCGTAAATTGATATGAGGGCCTTCGTGCCATTGTGGTTGTCGGCCTTCGTGCCGCTGTGAATGTCGGCCATCCTGTCGTTTTTTTGTAGGTTTTGGAAACCTCCCCGTGCAGGGGAGGTGCTGCCGAAATTTTGAACAAACAATAACCTATTGCCTTTTTATGCAGGAGAAGAGCACGTCGGAGGGGACCCGGATCGTCTTCGTCGGTGTCGCGGTTCTGCCTGCACTGCGTCGCCTCGCCACTGCCCTGCTAGCCTGACTTCACCGACACCCTAGGTATAAATAACCTCTTTTCCGCATGTCTATCGTAGCCCGCGCGTAACCCAGTTAGGCGTCTCCCGTCCGAAAGTGATACGGTCGTAGGTATGTGGATCTTTGCATATCTGCGACCGTATCTGTTTCGGATTGTCCATGTTTTTTGGATAGCCTGCGGATGCGTAGATGGGTTAGTTTCCATGGTCCGCTCTAGTCCGAGACGGAGTTTTGGCATCACCTCCCTGTTGTTCTCTAGATACACACTCTCCCTGGCAGGACGTGTATCGGGAGAACAGCGGGGAGGTGCTATCAAAATTCTGTCTCAGAGAGGAGCGAAGCCTGGAAACTAACCTCATCTACACATCTGCGGGTGGGATTAGGACCTATCCTCACCTATTAGACATTAGCACCACCGTGTAGATGCAATTGATGGTCACAATACTCTGTGATGTAAATGTTAAAGGATGGAGGACCGTCAGTGGATGTACACGGGCTGGAGAAGCGGGAGTGACTACGACTATGAATGGGTGAAGGGGACAGATCATTTCTTGAAACATGCATTTGGCCCAGGAGCAGGAGGACATTCTCTAGTTTGGTGTCCCTGCAGCAAATGTGACAACAGGAGAAAGGTAGACGAGAGACCATGGGTAGACATCTTGTGTTCAATGGTTATACGCCTGGCTACCAGCAGTGGATCTACCGTGGTGAAGCAGATCGTATAAGAGCGGAGGTGGTGAGAGCACGCCTCGCGGCTTTTGATGATGATGCCGGGGTAGCAGACATGCTAGATGACGCCCACCAAGCTCACTTCGCTGAACGACGTGAGAAGGAGGAGATGGAGGAATCCGCAAAGGACTTCTACAAAATGTTGCACTCGGCACAGAAACCCCTTCACGAGCGTACAACGATTTCTCAGCTGGATGCGGTTGGACGCGTAATGGGGTTGAAGGCCTAGTTAAACCTGAGTCGAGAAGGCTTCGATAAGATGTTGGCCGTGTTTGGCACCATGCTACCGGAGAAGCACACTTTGCCAACGAACTTGTACGAGGTAGAGAAACTCCTTCGTATGCTTAAGATGCCGTATGACAAGATACATGTTTGTCCGAAGGGGTGCGTCCTATTTAGGAAAGAACACAAGGATGCAAATTACTGTCCGAAGTGTAAATCCTCCAGGTACCTGGAGGTAGACTCTGGTAATGGTTAGAAAAAGCAGCTTCCGATTCCCGCGAGAGTGCTACGGCACCTTCCTTTCCTACCAACGGTCCAACGGCTATTCATGATCGAGGAATCCGCGAAATAGATGACATGGCACAAAGATGGCAAACGGTACAATCCTGGGAAGATGGTACATCCGTCTGATGCTGAAGCATGGACGCACTTCAATGACAAACATCGTGACAAAGCAGCTGAGGCCCGTAATGTACGTGTCGCGCTGGCAATAGATGGGTTCAATCCTTATGGAATGATGGCTGCCCCATACACATGCTGGCCCGTTTTTGTTATCCCCCTCAATCTCCCTCCCGGCATCTCCTTTCAATGGCATAACGTATTCTTGTCGTTGATAATTCCTGGACACCCGGGGAGTAATATGGGTGTGTTCATGGAGCCTATGATTGATGAATTGATCCATGCTTGGGAGAAGGGGGTATGAACATACGACCGAGCTACAAAGACAAGCTTCAAAATGCACGTTTGGTACCACTACTCCCTACATGACTTCCTGGCGTATGAGTTATTTACCGCCTGGTGTGTTCATAGGAAGTTCCCATGCCCAATATGCAAGGAAGCTGTGAGGTTCATTTGGTTGAAGAAGGGTGGCAAGTATTCGTCGTTTGACCAGCATCGTCAGTTCCTCCCTCTAGACCATGAATTCAGAGAAGACATCAAGAGCTTTACGAAAGGTGTCAAAGTGACAGACCCTAAACCACACTTGAGGACTAGTGCCGAGGTTCGTGCTCAGATAGATACTCTCATGCCCAATGAAGAAGGTGGTTTTGTGGGATATGGTGAGGAACATTGTGGACTCATAAGTCCAGCTTGACGAGGCTCCCCTATTTCGATGACCTTCTTCTGCCACATAATATTGATGTAATGCACACTGAAAAGAATATTGCCGAGGCACTTTGGGGAACTCTCATGGACACTGACAAGTCTAAGGACAACGTTAAGGCTAGAGTGGACCTAGCAATGTTGTGCGATAGACCGAATCAAGCGATGCAGCCTCCTAGTGGCCGAAACAAGAACTGGAAAAGGCCTAAGGTCAATTTCATCTTGCAAATCGATCAAAGGAGGTAAGTACTAAAATGGATCCAGACGTTAATGTTCCCAGATGGATATGCAGCAAATCTTAGCAGGGGAGTGAACTTAGGCACTCTGCGAGTCAACGGGATGAAGAGTCATGACTACCACATATGGATTGAGCGGCTTCTTCCGGCGATGGTCCGAGGCTATGTCCCTAAGCATGTTTGGCTAGTGCTGGCAGAGTTGAGCTTTTTCTTCCGCCAGCTTTGTGCCAAGGAGATATCTCGGACCGTCGCTCAGGACTTGGAAAAAATGGCACCTGTGTTGCTCTGTAAGCTAGAGAAGATCTTTCCACCCGGCTTCTTCTTGCCGATGCAGCGTCTGATTGTGCACCTCCCATCCGAGGCATGTTTGGGGGGGGGGCAGCCCTTTGGTGCTATCCAATCAAGAGATGTCTAAAGACTCTTTGCAAAAAATGTACAAATAAAGCTAGAATTGGGGCTTCCATTGCAGAGGCATGCCTTTGGGAGGAGGTGGCAAACTTCACAATGCAATACTACAAGCCGAACCTTCCTAGCAATCATAATCCACTCCCTCGTTACAATGCTGGCGAAAATGAATCGACCCTCAGCCTT